TGCCTGCCTGTGATGAGGAGATTGTGAATAGAGAATGATTATTAGTCGAATTTAAAATAAACATTTGCATTTGAATGGTAGGTGTGCATCAGGGAGCGTCATCAGTGGCACGCGAGATGCTGTGATAATGATGTAAGTGACGTTGTTGCATTTTAATGTTTTGTTAGTCTAGCCCACGAGACGCGCCGCTGCTGAGTTATTCATTCAAAATATTAGAGAAATATAGAAGCTCAATGTAAAAGCATCCAAAAAGCAGCATGTCATGGGACCTTTAAAACCGAAACCAAGCCATTCACACAGCATTTTTTAGATGGACAACTATGACTGCTGCACTCGCGTCTCACACAAGAGATGTAGCCATGCAAAGTTAAAACAGTTTAAACTTTTAGAAAACACGTCACGAATTTGTGGAGGTTTATTCCTTTTCACTGCGTCTCATATGTTTTTAAATGCAGTCTGTGTGAATGGCGCTTCGGCTCTTTGGTTTAAGCAATGCGTAAATACATGATGCTGTTTTTGTTCATAATTGTTTATGCAATTTATGAAATTATATGTGATTTTTATGAGTTAATTTAGACGTAATGCACGGTTTTTACAGACAGTTATTTCCTTGAGTTGACAATTTAAATGCGCTATTATTTTGCTCATTGTGCCCTCCTGTGGCCTCGGGAGACAAGACAAAAGTTTCCTTAAAACCTATTTAATCTGCATATAAAACATTAGAAATTAGATATTTGTTTCATTTTTATTTTGTGTTTGATTGCTAAAACAAAAATATTTGTTGTTTGTCTCAATAAATTGGGTTAATTATAAATACAGTGGTTAAATGTAAACATTATATGCTCCATAGTCATATCGTCCTGTCGTCAGCCTGTGAGATAAACGAGACACAATATTATCATGCTAATTTATTATATTATTTACTTACTTCCTACTTACTCCAGGGTAAGGCTAAAATCAGCCTAATGTTACTGTAATCTATTAACTTCACATTAACGTTATATCTTTTTAGTCAAGTAGCATATAGATGTCATGTCATAAAATACTTTTAATATGACTGAATTTGTATTTAATATGTTAACACTTTAATAGAAACACGGAAAGTTACTAATTATAATGCTAACATTTACTCAGTTATTCAAACAGCAGCTACAGAAAATTAAAAAGATTATTTACATGATCAAAGAACATCATCACTGACTTCAGTCTAGCGCGAGTTTATGCATTGCACACTAACACTCCCGTTATAATCAGTGAAGCTGTCTACACTGTATGATGAATAAATCTCTTATACTTGCATCGCATGTACATCTGCACTTTGTTGTTTATGATGAAAGAATTCGCGAGACAGAAGACTTCAGTCAGTGAGTGACCTCAATGAACAACAAAACTCCGGTGTTTCAGCGATCACTCGCCTGAACGCCTCTGATTGGCCGCTGCATTCATAAACTCAATGGAGTCGTGTGTGATTGGTTAAAACGCAGAAAAAGAAATATGATTGAACAAATAAACCCTAATATTAATTATATAATAATACTAGCCCGATAATAATAATAATAATAATAATAATAATAATCGTCTTGCAATCGTCAAAGGCATCAGCCACAGGCGATATCTCTGACTGTTGTTGATACACGATACTATTGTCTATCGGCACAACCCTAGTTTGCATTTTTCCTACTGTAATGGCGCATATATATGAAGACGTTATTGGCTGCGTTGAAAACAATTATTGCACACACTACTGCAAATTTTACAGACACACCCCCAGAGTGACAGATCGCACATTTTGAGTGATATTGAGCTAACTCCTTCAGCATCAATGGACATATAGATGTGGTATGATGTTTTTTTTATCAGACTAAATACAGCTGGTACGCCATTAAAGAAATTTGTAGAACAGTGAGCTGACATAATGTGTGTGGCTTTTTTATTTTTTATTTTTTTTTCCCTGCCCTTCCATAGTTTGAGCACTTGCAACAGTATTGCAGATGGTTTCCTTTGCCACTTTCCTTTGCTCACTGGCATTTTTCTTTCTGCTTTACAATATGTATTGTGAACAAGCACAAGCAACAAATAAATTAGCTGGTCTATGACATACACACTTTTTTTTTCTTTTGTTAAGCCATTTTTTTCAGGAAAAAGATCTGTATTAGCCATTAAAATTTCTAGTTAGCTCTTCAGTACTTTTATGTTGTGTAATGACCAGTATGCTTTAGATATTGGAAATAAGAAAAAGTACTAAAAAGTATATTGCAAATGTGATTATTATGTTAATTTTTCTGAGTACTCATGAAATATTTTTGCTTCACTCTGTTTATTTAGATTTTCCTTCCTCGAAATACAGAGATTCCTCTCTGGGTTAGATGACTTTTGCATTTTTCTCTTTTTTTTCGCTCCCAGTGAAAGAAATTAACTGGTGTAACTTTTTAAAAGTTCCTTTTTAAAGGAGGGATGAAAATGGCAGGTAATGATGACGAAGGTTTACACACATTTCTAAACCAAACACACCTTTAAACAACATGGCGGGTGAAAGGTAGCAGTGTGTCAGCTGAATCCAAACTTTTTTGAAAGTGGCAGTACCTTTTTTAAATAAAGCGCATTCAGACCGGCTCCTTAAGAAGTTTAGACTGGAGTGCCGTCTTAGAAAACTGGACCCCTTCAGCTGAATCCCATATGTTTGTCTTGGCCCATAGCTGGTGTCTGCTTGGCGGGCACTGATGCTGGGGATATTAAACTGATGGAACACAGAACTCTTGATCCCTTTCGAGGGCTGCTATTTAGGTAAAGGCAGGAGGCTCTGTCCATCCACCTGTGATTGTCCACTCCACAAAACTAACTGCTCATTGGACGGTGTAGCACTGTAGCTAATGGAGCAGTAGTAGCGTTGGCCACACTGTGTCCTCCATAGGGATGGGTATCGTTAAGGTTTTAACGGTATTACTACTCTTACCGATACTGCTTATCGATTCGGTACTTTAACAGTATTCTTATCCGTACTTTTATATATATATATATATATATATATATATATGACAAATTAAGAGCTCCCAACTGTTCTCCTCCACTTAAGACATAATTCGTGTTTAAGTAGATACTCTCCAAGCCTGCCATTTTGATATTTTTGTGTGT